TAGACTCCTGAAATATGAATATGTGGCTAAATAACACACTGATATAGGTAGATCAGATTTCTGTTGAATCAGACTGTTTTAAGAGCCTTTTTCTTCAGGTTTAAATCGAAAGAAAAGAGCTTGCGTCGGGAGTCATGCAACTTTAAGAATTTAAGAATTTAGAATGCTTTAATTAAATATTAGTATGTTAACGTACATAGTTATATAGCCAGGGTACAGTTTGTGAACGCAGCAATAAAAACTTTCTATTTTTCACAACTGAAAAGGGTGTCTCTATGCCGAACGCCTTGGTTTGGCGAAAGCAAGCTAATGAATGGCAATATTACAGAATGTACTGTTGTTAAGTGCTATCTTGTCTGTGTACACCACCTGTGTTGAGTCATGATATTTTGATAGATTAAAAGCGGTGCTCAGTTACCATTACTTAATATTTCAATGAAGGGTATTAAATTACATTCATCGTTAAACGAAAATCAATCATAATCCGAGCACATGTCATTTAAGGATCAGCTTCATGTTAAATTCCTAGTTTTGTGTTACATGAAAAATATGACCTGCGTTTTCGTCAAGGAAATAACTCTACCCAGACACAAAAAGAAATTCGGGACATTGAGGAAAATTGTGTCAGATAGTGGAATCAAAACCAACCGTTGCAATAGAATTCCCGAGAGGGTAAGAAGGCTTTTGTTTGCGTTTTATACAGATTCGTTTTCCCGAATTGTCAGTCAGTTTTGTAATTGTTTTCCATTGATCCTTCTATTTTGCACGCGTCCGGTCAATTTTATGTATGTCTGATAATCACATGAAAGTAGTTCTTTTGCATTTCAAAAATTACTCTCTTTTAAGCAATTAGTCGTGTCAGCAGTGAAAAAAAATGCGTGATTCTGATTGGCTCTCTGTACTGATTTGTCAATAATAGAATCGGGCAGATGTCCTTAAATGGGCTCGTTCAGTTTGGGGAGTCAGCAAGGGGTTCGAGAAGTAAAAGGTAGCATCTCTTGAACCGCACTAAGGAGTCCTAAACCCAGACAAAACTGTTTCAACTGCGTATTGTCAGTTTTGTGGTCTTCTTTATTCCAACTTGCCCGGCGTGAGCTAATACAGCTTTTTTCATCGCTTGAGCGGTTTGTTTTCCCCCTGCACATGATATGTATATTTTCTAGATAATTGATCTTTTATCCATCTAAAAGTTATTTCTTCGGCGTATACAGGCGACTATTCGAAAATTTGAAAGCAAGAATTCTCAAGGGTATCATCGCGTGGTCTGAAATGGAGCAACAAACCGCCCAAGCTAAAAAGGTCTATTAATCACAATCAAATAAAACAAAAGCCAAAAAGACAACTTTCGTTGCATGGCTTAACAGAGAATTGCACCTGTCTGTTTCAGATCGAGATCCACATCTAATAAAATACTTGTTATTAATAAGGTTGCTCTTAAGACAGGCCGATATGCATGTTTAATTGTTTTTCTTTTTTTTTTTTTTTGGAAGATTGATGTAAAGTTTCAACTCACCACGCTTCGCCCCGTCACTGGTCCATTCTTTAAATAACGGATGCCGGATGGCATAGTAGACGTCATTGTCGTTGACAGTTTAAAACACGTTATTCCAGTAGACCGTTGACGCTCTATCCCACTAAAAGGCCCTGTTTTGACCTCTGATAGAGCAACATTACGCTCAATTGTCCGTTGATGGTACAAATGTTCATGCCGGTAACAATTAGCTTCTTCCTTTGTCCCTTTCTTGCCCTCATTTTGACCAACAGAGGGAGAAGTTGGTTACAGTTTCTCACGTCATTTGCAGCTGACTGTTATTTTCGCGCTTTGCCCAGCAGAATGCCGGGATTGAATAGATAAGACATCTTCATCGTAGCTTTAATGTAAGCCCACTTCTAGACCTCAACAGCTACCATCATTTGTTGGTTGACAGTTAAACCGTAGCATCCATCGGAACCTTAGTGCCTACTGAAACACTTAACTTTGAGAATCCATTACCGTTTGTAACGAAAGCACGTTTGATCGGCTTCGTTTAATTAACGTTCACATTCGACCGGTTGAAAGATAATTGCCATCTGTCGTTTGACGTTTTAACACAGTTTTACACATTCCGGTTACTACGCAGTTAGCACAAAGCTTTAATACGATTTAAAAGACATCACTTTGTTTAATGCATCTGAAATTTGCAGCCATTCGGGCCATTCAGTAATTCGCTGACTTGACTGAGCCATTAATAATAGATGAAATCTCAGGTGGGATCTTATTGGAACTTCATGCGAATTAATTCAAGCGTCAGTAGAGTTTTTTTCTTCCGTTTTCGCCTAAATTGACGCCTACATAGACAACGGTGTTGTAGTTAGTCGCTATTGTCTAGAGTTTTCAAAGCATATCCTTGCTGCAGGCACACTCAGTTCTGACACCGACTTTATTATGTAATATATCAAACACGAGAGACCGTTTTTGACCACATTTTCATACAAGTCCGAGAAGAGAGGAGAAAATACGACGCGTAGCAGAGTATTTTTGACGAACTTCGAGGTGTTTGGAAATGCGGTCAAACACTGTCTTGGGTGTTTGTTATATATCTTCTCAATCGAAACTGAAACTAAGGAAAAAACGGTGAAATAAAATCGTAAATATCTATGCTAATTAAGATCAGATATCCAAACACCGTCACGGTTAGAAATAAATGTATACCAAGTTGACCTAATCCAGTTTGCTAAAAAGAAAGCGCAGCAAGCACTCCAAGCAGTCTGTTATATGCTTGTAACAGAGACCTCGGCGATGACAATTAAAGCCAAGACTACTAGGATATCGGTAGCTTAGGGCTTAGCCTGAGACTAGTCTGAGACTTGGCAAGCGACCCATACATACAAACAGAACGACCTCGTCACAAGTCCGTTATACTGAAGTGACGGATGTTCAAACATGCTGAAACGTAAAAAGCTGAACTGCGATGATACCGACGCCATCAGCTCGCCCACATTTTTGCGACCGTATTCAATTCCGTATCAACTTCACACTCGTGCCGCGGGCTCGCTAGTTGGGCATGAAATCCGAAACAAGCTGCACAATTTCTGAATGAAAATCGGAAGTCTAGTTTGGTTCATCTCGGTACCTGTTATTCCTAAATAATAGATTTAAGGCTAATTTACTTCCTGGTTTTGTTCACGAAACCCAGTTTTGGTTGTTAACATTTCTACTACTGAGCAAACAAAAACTTGATAATTTGTCGTCAAACTACTCGAGAAGTTAAAAGTTAATCGTCGCAAGTTTTCTTCAAGACAACTTTCAATGACTCGATGCAATTTCGATTTAATTTCCTGACAGGCCACTGTTCGTTGGAGAAAAGGTACTGATCATTGATACTATGTTGTTCTAAAACCATGAGTAGAATTTACTGATGTCTTAGCTGTATGAAAGAAGTGTTCTCAGAATGTAAGAACAATACACGCACATATTTAACAGTACTGAATTTAATTATTTGCTTGATAAGATGGCTAAAATACAATTGTACCGTTTTTAATCCTGTATCATCATCGAAGTAGGTTGACTTTACAGACGACTGTCGCAATGTTCGCGTGGACTGAACGTAAATCTGTATGCATTTTTGTAACAAGGCTTGCATCAGTTGCAGGGTTTGGTCGAAGAATATAACATCACTGATCAAGCGACGAACGTCCGAAACCAAAGTATATAGTTCGATCATAACCGTAACATTAGTTTTCAGCTTTGCCGGCTAAGCCTTTACTGCTGATACCCTCAGACTATACTAATGACAAGAGAAAAGAGGTATTGTATTTCGTGGTACAAAACTAGTGTTTGTCATTGGGGAAAAAAGAATATATATATATCTGAAAACGACCATCTGTTTTTGAGGAACTCATATGCAAATTATAATAGGTAAAAAAGAATCTTAATGAGACTGAAAACTCATGCAGCTGCTTAGATCGGCTAGTTTTTCTTCGCCGTCTTATAACTGCAAAACAGGATTGGTTTGAATAAGCCTTCTTCAGCTTTGAAAGTAGTGCAGTTGACATGCCTGTGATTTAGTGCCGGGCTCAACATTCAGTGTGGCCGTTTCGTCTTTCACGAAATGTTATTTCTCGCGTGAAGAAAATGATAAAAGCATTTAAACCGTGGCTTTCTATTCTTAACTTTGTACCTATTGTGGCGGCTTGTAATTTTCGACTTATTTTTTGTTCAAAAGATAGCCAGAGAAGTTCTTGTTTCGGGACCATCAAAACAACACGGCGAATTGTCCTAATACGTCTGGGGTTAGTCGCATCTCCATACGAATAGGCCTAAATTGCTTCCCTAGACCTGAAGGATTTTCTTCCAAAGGCTAATTTTTCACCGTGTTCCCGCGAATATTTTCCGTCCGGTCGACTGGATAATTTAATATCGCGCAGTCTACATGATAAAGAGTGTTATAACTACGGAACAGACAAAAACAAAATGTTTACGAGCGATTTCCCTACACGAGATAACCAATTTAAACTCACTTCTATTGCTATTTAAAACTCCGCGCAGTTTGTCAGCTCAAAAGGCATGACACAAGCTTTGTATTTTGATTGCCAAACTTTTAAAATATTCAAATGAGTAGTATTTCGTTTTCGACCAGCCTTTTGAGATTGATCCATTCTTTTGTGGTTATCCTGGTGGTATTAGATTTGGATTTGCATTAGTACCTCGTTAAGTTTTTCGTGGAAAATAGAAATTAAGGTTTTTGTTTTTTTTTAATGCCTGGCTTAATGAAAGTTGGATCCAAGCTGGCCGGTTAGAAAGTTTGGCTTTTTTCATGCCAACTGCATGCATTAGGGAAGCCATATGAAATTGCCAAAATTTCATTCGCCGTCAATCATTCTGAAGATTGTGACGTCATTCGGGCTAAAAGACCAGTTCCTTCGAGCCGCTTGCAAATCGTGTAGAGATGTTTACACTTGATATATGGAATAACAACTGTTCGTTTGGGTAAAGGGTTTTGGTCTCTTCTCTCTTCCAGTCTGTAGGCCTACTGTCAGACGCCTTGGCAATACAGACGGCCATGGCTGTGGCGATAGCAAACGGAGGAACGCAGCGGCCGCAACGTCCGCAAAGATGTAGTGCAGGCGCTGGACCCAAATTCAAACTCATTCACGAAGGAGACATTCAAGTTTGTCGCTTAAACCACAGCCGGACTTTGATCAGTAAAGTGTTAAGTTCCAAATTCTTGAGGAGATGGGAAGCACATCATGTTTATTTGGGAGATTTCCAGATGTATTCTGCCACGGTAAGTGAAGGTAGCGGTTGAGTTTGTAATTTTTTTGCGAATAAAATATTTAATCGCCAACAGCCGCCTGCGCAAGCTTGTCTAATCAGGTGTCCGCCATTTTCTTATCTCAATATCGGCTTGAACGAACAGCAGTCATTATGAAAGGGCTTGCGATGTCGTGGGACAGCGCAGAACTAGAAAAATTAACAAGAATGCAAGATATTGAAATTTCACTTGACCTATAAGGTTACAGAGCTACTACTGTACGCGTAAGCCATGAAATCAACCGAAAAGGTTATTGCCCTTATATGAGAAAGTGAAGGGTTTCCACTTAGCTTTAGTTTTGCTGTGAAGGCCCGCCGAAAGAGCTTAGTGATTATTGTTAATTATAAAAGAACATAAAGAGTTAGGCAATGGGCTTAGCTTTTCGTGGAATCTATTTTCCTTTCAACTATCTGGCGTTGCGTTCGTCCAATGCAAAAGGCCGCTGTACGTACTTCCTTTATGGCAGCAAAGAACACTTGTTATTGATGTCTATATTCGCCGCTTTGTCGACCGAAAATATATTTGTAAGCTTTATAGGGTTTCTACCTTAGCTATAATGATTCAGGGCAGATTTCGAATTAATTTCGCTATGAACTGACAAGTATCTTGTTCAAGAGCTGTGGACTGGTATGGTCTTGGCAATATACACAATATTGTGTGGAGCTACAAGTTGGTTTGATTGGAGCGAAGTGCAAAGCTTAATTCGATCATGTTCGTTTCAAAATTCGATACCGAGGTCGTGAAAGGCTACTTTATCAGCTCAGTTCATTTTGTATTAAAACCGCCAGTAACCTCGTAGTGGAGCGTGTGATCAGTTGAAGTTTGTTTTGGTTACTCCATTTCCTTTTAAATTGATTCAATAATTTATACATAAGCTATCTTGTGAATTTTGAACAACCACACTCCAATATCAAAGTGGAAGAAAATTTCTATTTTCTTTGAATGATACGTTAAATGTCTTCAAACTGGACAATATGATGTTCTTCAGGCTGGGCACCAAGCTTTCAAATGTTTGAATGATCCAAAAGAAATTACTGATGATGAAAGTAAAATCATGCATCATTCAGGCAGTGAGGAAAAAATTGCCAAGGAGGTGTTTCAGTTTAATTGTCACACAAGACACTTTGTTGACTTGTTTTACAAACTGTTTATAGAAATGGAGCAACCCCCCCCCCCCCCCCCCCCCCCC